GGAGAAAAGAAAAGGACGACAGATGTTTGATTGGAGAGAAGGAGCAAGCCACACCAGATCACTCAGCAACCACCCACACACCCAGTCAACACGTCTCTTCATCACGGTAGTATAAAACATTGTCTACTTAGATCGATGAGTTGAACTAACAAGAACGATATCTTTAGATTCGAGTTCTCCATTGATTTACTTGATATTTATTGGGTTCGAACGTGGATATCATAAGAGGAAGAAATAAATATAGAAGTGGTAGAAAAAAAAGACCGGTGAGGACGTGGTAATATATTGTATATAAATACAGCGGCAACAGAAACTTTCCACTTTGTTTTTTGTAACTGCGTCTGTATTCACGCCAGTTAGTGGGCGACATTTCACACATCAGTTAGGTATCTACCATGTACCCAATAATGACTCCGCTCTGATCTTTTGTCTTGAGCAAAAATTTAACCACGTGGTGACGCGACCCACGTGCAAATTAACATGTTTTGTAACTTAAGCTCCGCTGAAATTTTAAAATTGTCTAAATTGTGTTTAGATCAACACATTGGCGATTTTAAAAACCGAAAAAAAACACGTCACATACACATTCCAGCTGGGTTTTTTTTACTTAAATAAATTGCTCTACAAGATGCTAAGGTTTAATTACGCTCTGAAGAGCGCTGTTGGGCAATTTAAATACTCCAAGTTGTACTATCGGCTCGTAGAGTGGCACGGATACTTCATTGCTCCCATCCTACCATCAATATCCTGAAAGATAGGTTCCAAGTCACTCTAGTTACACCTGAAAGACTCAGACCAGGCAGACCAGGTCGATACTGCCCAAGAAGACACACAAACATACACACACAAACACACACACACACACACACACACACACACACACTGTGGGGGATTGAGAGGGGCGAGGGGACAAGCAAAAGTTGCTTTTCCTAGACATAATTATGATGATATGACGGGTCTTCAATAGACCGTGATTCGAAATGCTGGAAACTTTATGTTTTAGTAAGAGTTTTACGGCACTTGCAACACTATAAGATGACATAAGTGCCGAAGAATAGATGTAATGAAAGAGAGTAACATACACAAAAATAAGAAGGAAAGGAGATAAAGATGATAGATGTTTGATAGGAAAGAAAGAGCAAACCACATCAGAGCACCCACCAACCACCCACATGGAAACTTTACGCTCAGAGCGTATAACTAGACGTATAAGAGCGTTTGTTAGTTTCAGTAAGAGTTTTACGGCACTTGCAACACAATAAGGTCATATAAGTGCCGAAGATTAGAAGTGTAACAAGAAGAGAGCAACAAACATAAAACAGAAGGAGACATCAGGACGATAGGGCGTTTGATAGGAAAGAAGGATCAAACCACACCAGAGCACCGACCAACCACCCACATGGAAAGTTTACGCTCAGAGCGTATAACTAGACGTGTTAGAGCGTAGAGCGTGGAAACTTTTCCTAATATTCTTGTAATGATATAACCGTGTATCACCAGAGTAATATCACTCTCCTCTATCTGGCCAGGTGAAGTAGGGTGAACTTCGTGCTCTCGCGCGAGATACGAGAGGGGGCATGGCCCAGGGTAAATTATATCGACTTGGGGAAACTGACAGCTGGAACGCATCCCTCTACGCGGGCGGTCATGTGAAGTCGCGGTTTCGTTTTGAAAATGGAGGTGAAGTGGAAGGGGGGGG